TGGGATTCAAACTGGTTGGCCATGTGGGAGTCCAGCGTCCTTAACCACCACACCACCTGCTGGCCCCTTGGTGGACTTTTTTGGTCTTAGGTTAGTCAGTTAATGCTACTGTCACTGAGGATGGGGACGGACTCTTTGTTAGATCATAGCAAGTCTGAATTAAACCTTTTAAAAAATAAGTTACCTCTTTGGAAAGTAGTTGGCAGAGGTTGCTACAACTGAACTTATATACATTTTCTGACCCAGCAATTTCACTTCTAAATACAGACACCCCATATACATTCAGGTACTCACCGAAAAACATGCCCAGGAAGGTTCAGAACAGCAACTATGTCAACAGTAGAATAGACCAATCAGTTGTGTTACAGTCATACAATTGCATACTACACGGTATTAGGACTGAACAAACTATAACCACACAAAGGTATTAGTTTTCTATGGCTGGGAAACACATTACCACAATCTTTGCAGCTTAAAACAACACATACATGGGCCAGTAGGTGGTGTACTGAGTAAGGCACTGGACTTCCACGTGGTCGACTGCAGATAGAGTCCCAGACAGAATAACTTGACACTGAGTGCGTGTGCGCAAACGCCCAAAATCCCAGGGGGAGAAAGGAAGAAAAGGGACTGTGGTGTTACCCTCCCTCCAGAAGGTGATTTCTCAGTTTCCCTCTCACTGTCTCTGTCTCTCTCCAGCTCACATGCCCTATGACAAAGCCTTAAAATCAACAAGCCTCTCCCCACAACACACACACACACACACACACACACACACACACACACATTTAAGAGCTCACGGTAGTCACGTAGGTTTTAAATCTAGGAACAGTGTAACTGAGTTCTCTGCTGAGGATCTTAAAGGCTAAAAACAAGATCTAAGTGGCCAGAGATCAGGATTCTCCTTGGAGCTTAGATTGTTGGCTCCAACAACAGTGTCATTTTTTGTGCTCGGCAGACTCTGGTGTCCCCATTTCCTGGCTGTTGGTCAGTCAGGGATCTATCTTGACTCCTAGAGGCCATCTGGATCCTTTGCCATGGAATCCCCTCTATCTTCAAAGCTAACCACATATATTTCCCTTGGGTAAATGCCTCTCATGCCTCATGTCTCTTTCAGCAGAAGAGCCTGGTCCCTTTTAAGGGCTCATGTGATCAGGCCCACTGAGGACAATCTCCCTATCTTAAAGCCAGTGTACTTGGGCTCAATTACATCCTCAGATCCCTTCCTGGCAGCACCTAGATGAATGTTTGGTTGCATAACTGGGAGGAGGTGCAAGTACAGAGCAATGAGCAATCTGGGGGACCATCTTGGAGTTCTGCCTGCCACACAGAGTAACAGGATGGATATCTCAATGTTGAGTGGAAGAATTGAGACACAAAAGAACATACAATGTCTGGTTCTGTTTAGATAAAACGTAAGAACAGGAAGCACTGATCTTTGGTATTAGAAGTCAGAGCAGTGGTTACTCTCAAGTATGTAGGAACTAGAAAGGAGCATGAGGGGGTCCTGGGAGGCTGGTAGTGTTTACATTTCTTGATCTGTGTGCTGGTGCCAACAAGCTGTATATTTAAGATTCACGTGCTTTTCCATAAATGTATTATACTGCAGTTAAGAAGTTCTTAGAGGGCCCCAATGGTGGAGCAGCGGTAACACACTTGGACAGACACAGCAAACTCCGAATTTGCATTGCCAAGCCTCCCTTTACCCACTGGGTACATGTATGCCCATGATTCAGGCTGGCCAAGGCTGGGGTAAGACACAGAGTGATGACCCTGTTGGAGATGCTTTTTTCTCTCTCTCAGAAGATATGAATAAATAAACTTTATTTTATTTATTTATTTGGCTAGAGAATACATGTGCTTGCCAGAGAGAGACAGAGAGAGGGAGAGTAGAAAGCATCCCACCCATGGGCATGGTCACACTGCAATCCCTTCCCCTCCATCGCTCCCTCCTTTCAGTATTTTGGGCAAACATGTACATGTGCCCTGATGTGTTTCTCAAGCCACTGAGTTTGGGACTCAAACCATGTGGTCAGCCATCTGGGATCTAGCTGCCCTATCTACTAGGCCATGGAGTCAGCCCATAAGTAAATAATCTTTTTAAACACTTCTTAGAATATTTGAATTTATTACTTTAAAATAGGTTTGTTTCACTTTTCCAAGGGAAGGTGTATCCAAAGACAGCTATCAGTGTGGGTGCCTGATGGGAGTGGAGTATAAATGGGATAAAGAAGAAACAAGACAGTGCCTTGCTAGGAGTGAAGGTGATAGTACACCGTGAACACTGCACTTGAGCACCAGCTGGGTACTCGCTCTGTCAACCTGGTCTCTGTATGCAGGGCCTGCTACGTCATTTGTAAGGCCCAGTGCAAGGTGAAATGCAGGCCCTCCTTGTTCAAAAAGTTGAAGACAAGAGAGCAGCATTAAGGCAAGGGGGAGGGTGGTGAAGCTGGCATTGCCTGCGTGTCTGGAGGAGGAGCTACATCTTCACATCCAGAGACCTTCTTGCTAGGTGAATTAGTTTGGGTAACTAACACCCGTTGGCTGTGTCTTTTCAACTGTAAAATGGGTTCGCCAGAGCTTAGGAGCCAGAATTCACTGACATATTTGAGAGCAAGCACTTTTGGATGTGTGATACAGCAAGCAAATGCAGGCATTATTTATAACAATGGGCCCTCTAAATTTCTCTCTCTCTCTTTACTAGAGGGTCCCTGTGCTAGCTAGAGAGAGAAAGAGCGAGAGGACAAAGCCTTCCTCCCCTGGGGAATGGTCACACAGCAGCCCCTTCTCCATTTCTCCATCCTGTCGGCATCTTAGGCACACATGCACACACTCCCTTCATGTTTCTCAAGTCACTCATCTGGGATTTGAGCCACCATTGGCCATGTAGGATCCAGCTGCTTGCAACCACCAAATCACAGAGTGGGCTCAATTTTTCTTTCTTTCTTTTTTTATTTTGGAGAGGTTTTTGCCAGAAAGACAGAGACAGAGAGACAGGAAGGGAGAAATCTCCCCCCCACCCCCCACCAGGGAGGAATGGTCATGCTGCTACCCCTTCTCCTCCATTCTCCTCTTGGAATCTTGGGCACGCATGCATACATGCATGGCATGAGTTTAAGCCACCAGGACTGGGGCTCAAACCATGATCAACTACATGGGAGTCCAGTGACATAGCCATTTTGCCAACTGCTGGTTCTAATTTTAAAAAATTGATTAAAAAGCCTACCTGTGGGGCCAGTAGGTGGTGTGGTACTGGACTTCCATAACAGTTAGAGTCTCAGACCTGATGGCTTGCTTTCTCTTTCTCTCTCTCATCTCCTTCTGGTGATCACATGTGCCTTATAGCAAATTTTAAAATAATAAATAAAATAATTTTTTAAAAAGCCTACCTGTGACCTTGCAGATAGAGACTTATTTTAGATCATACAGGGTCCAATCCTGCTTTGTGAATTATTGCAAATTGCAAATTATTGGTGGAATCCTAATCATAAGATTTTACCCTACAGTATGTCTTTGGCCTTTCTAGTAAAAGAGGAAATTACTAAATGCCAAGGTCAAGAGTATTGGAGTCAGGGCACTTCCTCACAGAAGTTCGTTTTCTTACTGAGATTTGAGTTCATGTCAAGTTCCAAAGTTCCACGCTTAATCTCTGGCCTGACTCTAGAACCTCCCGGAGTGTCTGGAGGGTCCTGGGGAGGGGTGCCCTCGAATCACCCAGCGGGGGCAGTGGTGAACTCTGCGGGCACAGGACTCTCAGGGGCCCAGAGACTGCGGTGTCAGGATGACTAGGCTGTCACTTTGCGTGCGGAGCCAGGGATGGGGGTGTGGGCATTTCGGGGTCAGGAATTCTTAAAAGAAATGACATTCACATTGCGTTTCGGTGACTC